ATCCATCAATTTGATAATTTTTTGGTGGTATGATGGTAACATAATTGACAATACATTAAACAAAACACCTTTTGACACCTAAACAATTTTTTACCACAGGTACTCTTTTATTTATAAACATATAATTTCATTTGTAGGACTCCAATTATGCCTAGTAGAACTGATATTTGCTTTGACCTCCAATTAGTAAAAAGAATCCATCTATACATTCCATAGAATCTTGTAAGTTTTTCCTCAAGCATCAAATCAAATTTTCAGAATAGCCATTCCAAACTTTGTTTCAACACAATTACCATGTTTGCATGTCATAGAAGTGCACGGCTGAACATATACAAGTAAATCTGTTGCTTATATGTTATAAAGAAAAACTTTATGTCAGAAATTTCCTTTTAGTATTAGATTGATAATGTTTGAGATACTTGCTTCTCTACTCCATCACTTATTTTTCTTTGCTGCTGTATTATTCTTTTATATTGCTATTTAGTTTGTTGGTTGACTTATTGATTATGCATTCAATTGATGGTAGGAAAAAGATAGAGCTGCAAGAGGAAACACAAGCAGGGGAAAGTGAAAAAATAGAAGCTAGATATGTGAGAAGTTCTGGGTAAAGCTTCCGGATTTAACAAGAATTTTGCATTTTCACAGATTGAGCATCAATCCACTGCACAGAAGCTGAGTTAAGGTGCATTGTGCAACAACAAAAATAAATTAAACAGTTGGAGGACCAGCTAATCTTATTTGATCAACAAAAGAGAGAAATAAAAAGCCTTGAACACCAACAATTCATCCTGTTAGAGATGAAGAAGCAGCTAACTATAGCCCTTGAGCTAGAGAATCTGATAAAGCTCCAACTCGACAACACTTGCCTTCTCGAAGTGATGATGACTCGTCCTCATCAGCTACACTATTTCAAATACCGAAGTGGGACACTTGACATGCTAACGATATTGAAGTTTTTTTTGTTTTGTATGGACAAAGATATTTTGACATGGGGGTAAACTATCTTTTTAGGATTGTTTGCATATATGTGTTAGATGGTGTACATGGGTGGGCATTTTTTTTGTTAGTTATGCACATATAGATAGGTAGAGAAAGGAAAATATGGGTGCTGCTGTTCTTTTGGGTTATGCACATGTGATAGTGCATTTTGGATTTTTATTGCTCATCATGCATCCATGTATGGACTATATATATATGTATGAAAATATGATTTTTGATTTAGTGATCAGATTTTTATATTGTGTCTATTATTTTTGTTCATGTTGAATGTATAATGTAGGTCCATACGAAATGCTGAAAAAAAAAACATCTTGCAACTATTTTTTTAGTAGCAAAAAGTCATTAGCATAATTGCATTCCGTTGGACATCAATATGAAATGCTAAAAAAAAACACATTCTGCAACTAATGTTTTAGTAGCAAAAAGTAATTAGTATAATTGATTCCATATTCAACGTCTAAAAATAGTCGCGATAACATTTTGGATTTCACATTCAGCTCTAAATGATAACAATTAACCACTAAATTTTTGTCACTAAAGATACATTCGGCCACTAATAAAATAGTCACAAAACTTATTGGATTTCACATTCAGCGTCTAAAATGTAACAATTAACCACTAAATTTTTGTCACTAAAAAATACATTCGACTAAAAATAGTCACAAAAACTTTTGGATTTCACATTCAGCGTCTAAAATGACTATAATTAACTATTAAATTTTAGTCACCAAAAATATATTCGGCCACTATAAAATATGTCGCGAAAACCTATTGGATTCCACATTCAGCATCTAAAATTACTATAATTAACCTAATTTTAGTCACCAAAAAGTACATTCGGCCACAATATATATATTCGCGAAAACCGTTTGATTCTACATTCAGCATCTAAAAGAGTTACAATTAGCCACTAAAGTTTGGTCACAAAAGATACATTCGTCGACTAATAAAATAGTTGCGAAAGCCTTTGACGAAATTACCCTTACACCTTTGGCGTCTAATTTGTGTGGGATTCGCGACAAATTATTAGCCACTAAACTAACATTTTGCAACTAATTGATTAGTCACTATACAATTTTACCAAATTACCCTTCAACTTTTAGCGTCTAAGTGGGGGGACTATTTTGAACAACATTTGCCGACTATTTTGATAGTCGCAAAAAAAAAAAACTTTTTGCGTCTAAACCACAATATAGACGCGCTATGAATCTGTGACCAGCCTACTGCAACTAAGGGGCGACAACCGATTTAGACGCTAAAAATGGCTTAGCGCCTATTTGACTTTCTGCGTCTAATTTTGCTAGACGCAGATTCCAGTTTTCTATAGTGATGGAAATCCCAACAACAACTCATTTTCAAGGTTACAAAGAGAATCGTTTTTACCTTAAAAGTACAATCAACTTTGGATTGTTCTTTCATTTTCAAATGAATACAAACTCCTTGGTATAGTGATAGCGATTAGTTGAAGACATTGATGATAGAAAGAGCACCATTGGATTCATATTTTTCATGGGAACAATGTTTTTACTTGGATGTCAAAGAAATAGCCATTTTCATGTTTTTTTCCTGTGAAGCCAAGTATGTTGCGGCCACCGCATGCAATTGCATGCAATTGGCTTGTTAAACTTACTAAATGAGTTGAATATATCACAAGAAGAGCCAACAACCATTTATGTTGATAACAAGTTTGCGATTGCTTTAGCGAAGAATCCAGTCTTTCATGATTGAAGTAAGCACATAGATACTCGCTATCACTGCAGAAGAGACTCTATTGAAAGAAAATAAATATGAGTGGAGTATGTGGAAACACAAGATTAAATTACTGATATTTTTACCAAGCCACATAAGTACGAGAACTTTGCAAGGATGAAAAATTGGCTCGGTGTCACAAAACAAGTTTAAGAGAGGGTACTGAAAAACCATAATTAAACTTCTTTTATTTTAATGGTTATTATTAGTTTAATTATTATCCATTAAAAAAGATAGTAACAAGTGAATGATTATAGTTAATAGGGTAATAATATTATGTGGCGTGTAGGTAATTTAAACTAGTATACATATGTGTTAGTAAATCGATGAACAAAGGCAACGGAAAAACAAAAAAATTTCGCCCATCGATTACTCTAATTTTGCCAAGATTAGGGTATGATATATATATAAATTGAAACAATATAGAATCATACAAGGATTAGATCATACCAGTGATTGGAGTCTCCGTCAATATCTCTGAATGCAATCTCACTACCGATTCGAGAATGGAATCGAACTCACGTCGTCCACATGAAGAGAGTACACCAATAACCAAGAATTAATTTTGCTAGAATTAATTCTTGGCTTTAAGGAGTAAAGTGTTTGGAAGAATAGGTGTAGTTCTCAAAAAGCTCACCCACGGCTTTGCCTCATTTATATAATGAGGCAAATTTCCATTCCACCTCCAAAGTTTAGCAACAACCAAAACTTATGTGGAATCACATATTAGTCTCTATTTAATTATTTACTTAAATATTAATATTAACTATAATAATTAAATTTGTACTTTTGCTAAATTACTCTAATAATAAAATTGGGCATAGGCTACAACCTCAGTAAATTTAGTTACACAACAAAATTATCAATATGTCCATTCGTCTAAAAGACAAATATATCCTTTCAAAATTTACCATCCCTAAACTGTCTTTTAAGTGTGTAACTTGTAGACTAATCATCATATCGACAGTGAGTAGTATCGTGATTGACACCAGTCAATCGTCTCACTACACACAGACCAAGATTGACCCCTAGTAAGATATTATGACCACTTGATAGATTTAAATTCAGCAAAACGACTACCTATCAACGATATGGTTACCGTGCAATCAAATCTTTTCATCATCTGTTATCTCATCGAGGCTAAGGTTCATAAATAGTGTCAACCTCAGTTATTCTCGATGTCTTTGTATTTAGTTACTGGACCAATGATCGGAATAATAAATTGGATTGAGCAACAACTCAATCCCATTGTGATCACAGTTTTAGTGTCATTGTCATTCACTGAATTGCGCCGCGAGATAACTTCTTTCATACCAAGGAGTGATGAATCCTCTATCGATCCACCATAGTCTTGATACACTCCTCAATGCAGCCAATCACTATCGTATTGATAGCTTTAAATAGAACTACGTTAGACTAATGTCAAACTACACCAATCGGTATACAAGGCATTCCGTTGATCTCAAGTCTACTAAGGATCACATGCACCACCATTCAATAAAGGATTTGTTCCATAGACACTATGATTACTTTCTATATGGAATCCTCTGGTGGGTCAGTCCAGTGAATTTGCCTACAGTAAACACCCATGTGTTGTACTAAGTTATCGACAAACAACCTTGACAAGTGAGTTCAGTCATTGCTTTTTAACATGATCATTCAACACTATGATAATCTTACCGTATTACCTATGTCCTTGGTCAGAATAATACTAAGGCTACGAACATTTTTAGAATGATCAGTATATGTAATCATAGGGTTCTCACTATTAAGATTTGAAACACTTGATACCCTCGTCGCTGTTCTACCCTCCTAAGAATATATATTAATACATACAATTATGACTTACATGATATAATAAAAAACGTCTTTTATTGATTAATAAACATTATTACAAAGAGTCAATTCTATAATAATTGATTGACTCCAAGACACCTGCTCCAACAATATGTCCCCTCTTTATATTTCAATTTTCAAATTTTCAAATGTAAATGAGTCAAAGAAAGTAAAAGATAAACAAGCTGCTCAATTTGTATTAATCGTAAAAAATAAACACAATTATAGTATTTATTTTTTCAACAATATTTCACTGAAACAAAATGATTGAGGAAGAAAAAAAGTTCTTTCGCTTAGCTAGGTTTACGCATCAAAGTTTTGCCATGCAAGCATCCATATGTAAACTATATATAATCTGAATTCCTGTAATAATAAATAAGAAACCTATGATATGATTACCCATGAACTGTGAAGTATTATGAAAACAAAGTAAATTTATAACACGATATTTCTTTATTGAAGGTTTACAACACTCTTAAGTACCTTTCTCCTGTCTTAGGCCATTAGTATGCCAATCATAATTATTTAAATGCAAACATACACCAGCACACATATGGCAGTGGCACCGGCATCCACCACCAGCCAAGATGAGATAGAAGAATCCACAAGAAGGTCAATCGTTTTTTTAGTACTACTACTACATAATAAAATCACCAACTTTTCAAGATGACATTGGTCCAGCTTTATTCATTGCGAGAATCCACTTCGTCTTCTCAAATTCAGCAAGAGAAGGGAAGCCTACAAAATAATCGAAGAAGCAAAATTGATCAAAAGAAAATTAAAAATGTCCAGCAGTACCCTTGCATGTTGACTTCGCATTAATTATTGTATCAATATTTGGTTGCTTTCTCACTCTCATCTCTTTTGTCAAAATGCAGAAACATTGTGATAAGCTTAAACTATTGAATTGGGAGATAAGATTCATTTACATATGCATGACCCTATACTGATAATTAAGCTCACCCTAATTTGAGAGAAGTATCAGAACTGTCATCCTCTATAGGCGGGCCGCTGCTGCAGCTGCAAACATTAGTAGCAGATTCTGATGACAACCCTTCTTCCGGAATTGCGATTTCTGAATCAGCTAGGACGAGGCTTTTTCCCTTATACAAGTTGGACACCTGTTCCAAATTTGAAAGAACCCTCGCCATTTTCAAAGAAAATGAAATAAATAAAATTATTATAACAGTCGACCAAAATGAATTCTTATACCTTCTGTTTTAGCTGTCTATTCTTCTCCAATAGTTGTGCTCCCTGCAAATAGTACCAAGTTGAAAACTCAAGATAGAACTCTTGACTTATGGTATCTTAATAATCAAAAGCAAACTAGAGAGGTCTGAACCAAAGAGCCTTTATAATATATATATTATATATATATATATATATATATTTGCACACATTAGATGGAAATTAAAGAACTTAAGCTATAGTCATGACTGTGTCCTTAAAATTATAATGCAAACTGAAAATTTGCATGTACATTTGAAAATTGCTAATATTATAAAAAAAAGATCTTTTGTGGAAAATTTTGATGCCAAAAAATTAAAGTCATTAATATATAAAAAAAAACCCTCAAGAGTGAAAGTCCACATATTTAGTTGATTCATGTATTATGAATAAAACTTATTTCATATTTCCATGAATATCTCCTCTTGACTTTGAGAAGATCTCAATTAATTATCTCATGGAGAAACTTGTTTGTTATCCTTCTAGTACACTATTGCTTCTGCACAAACAGTGACTGCTACTTTAAATTAGTAAGAAAGATCATGAACAAAAGGCATAGATTAGTAGTTTAAATTTTCCAAAAGAAAAAAAAAATAATTGATAGAAATAAATATTTGCTTCTAACCTTTTTCAAGTGAAGAGATCTCGTTCATAATCAGTTCATCTGATAGGAAAAATAAATTATATAACACCTGCATGAATCATGGTAGATATATATACTTAGTTGCAATAAAATATAAAAAATACATCCTTGTTTCAAGACACGCCCAAGTCCTGATTCAAGCAATTTTTCGAGTTGTTGTAATTCCTCTATATTCAATCCTTTAAGACTTCTCCTCGCATTTGTCTATATAGAGGTAATATTATAAAAGGAATTTTTGCAATTTACCAAAGTAAAGAGACAATATAACTACATAAAAATTATACCGTAGTTCATGGTCTTATCAGCAACTTCCTTGCTCAATCTGATGTGTGTTGCTATTTTCCAGCTATATAAGAATAGAATTGCCAGTCAGTTCGATATGTAAAGCTTGACAATTACTGGGAAAAGAAATTTATATATGTGATGCCAAGTAGCCAATGCAAGTGAGTTGGAAATCTCTTCCATGCAGTTCTTGAAAACTCAACTGTTAAAAATATGCTTAATTAAAAAGTTAAATAGTGAACCCCAAGCCTTTTGCAAAATTCATCTCAGAAATTCTAATGCCTGCCCATGTCAGTTTCCTTTAACTCTTAAAACTACATACGTGATCATAGTTATGTTATGATAACTAACAAAACTGATCAAATAAATTACCTGCAGTTCAAGGATAGTTGGTCAAGCTTTCCGATGTTGTTAGAATGCAGATTATACCTTGAAATTGTGTCCTTCATGCTTCACAACAAAAGTATAAACTAAATATGTTAGACAGGTCAGAACTCATAGCAAAATTTGCCAGTATAGGATAGTTAAAGCACATGAACTGTTTGAAACCTACTGTAACTAACATATAGGCAAGTGGAGTTTAAATTAATGCTAGAATAAAGATCCACAGAAGGCATCAAACCTATCATCATATATATGGTCTATATAAACTTATAATGATTTTCAATCTAACTGAACTATCTATTCACCAAATGACATGTCTGTTTTATCTGTCATTACATCCAATCATCCATCATCCACCCCATATTTTTAAGCATTTGCAATTAGTTATAACATAATACAACAATTCAACTGATATATTGTGATAATTTAAGTGAAAATCAAGAAAACCTAGCCATTTGAAAATTTACAAGAGATGAAAAGTAATATCCAATTTATTTAAATAAAAAAGTTCTTCACCTTAAATTTAGCAACTTTATAACACAATGTTATGTTCTAGTGAATGAAAATCTGAAACAAACGTAAAATTAGAGTCAAAAAGTGTCAACATGCCCTAGAGATTCTGTTACTAACAATTACACAAGGATGTAATATGATATAACCACTTTGGCCTGCATAGAATAAAGAAGAATTTCAACAAAACTTACAACGTGACATGATGAAGAGAAGAGCTTCTGTTATTCAAATGTATTAACCGAAAGGCCACAAAGGGAGGTGGAGTCACATAAAGGAGGCTCCAGTTTGGAGGAAAAACTTGGCTAAAGCAAATATGTTTATTCATACATATATACTACTAAAGCTCAGACAATGGTCAAGGAAACCACTTCTATTCATCAATAACTTATAATTAAGACAAGCATTTCAATCAAGAGACTAACCATGAAAACATAAAGACATGGTAATAGTTATTGATAATTTATGTCATAGGTTAATCAATTCAAAGGAATTTAGAATGTAATATATGATCCCAAATTCATGGTAGAATTCAGAATTGTGTATTCTATAGCAATCAACAAAATTATGCTTCCAAAAAGTATAAGTTTGAGATTTGGTGAAGTTTAACCGTGCAGCTCGAGAAATAAGAATAATTATTAAGAATACCATATAAGTAATTCTTATATAACAAATGTTCCCCAAAAACCCATCTATATCAGCTCAAGAATGATCATGTCACAACTATCACCTTAATAAACAGGTTACTCAATAAGAAATAGGAAAAACAAGCGATATAGTCATATAAAAAAAATTTAGAATACCACGGGGGGTACAAGTTACTATAAACCACCAATGTATATACCCACCACATATGAAAATATTCTCTCTCATCAATCTTATCATAAATGTGATTGAATTATTAATTTTAAAAATATTTAACAACAGAATATTGGTTAGTGATACAGATGACGTAGTACCTCATGGCATCATAGATGTTCTAATCATGTTGGCACCTTTTACAATAAAGTGTCAATATACATGATTTTTCCTTACAAATAGACATTTCCCATTGAATCTGGTTGAGGCCATGGAGCCCTATCTTCAAAAGTAATACAATTTCCTCCAAAGTCAATCTAAACATAGTCCACAACAATTTTACCCTACAAGGCACAGCAATGAAAGTTCTCAAAAGCTGTTTATACTTATAATCAAACTAACAAATTTTGACTTAAATTGAATTGAGCACATTCATGCATATAGACCGATGAATATGTAAGGTCAGTATAAATTTTGAACAATTTTTACACGGTTACAATCAATCTTCAATATATATAATTATTGAACTTGACTCAGTTTGCACTTAGAAGAATTTTATATAATATATATATAGATATATATATAATATATATATATATCTATATATATATATATATAAAGGATTTGACCGTAGATAGAAACTGAAACTGGCAGGGATAGAGGCGGATGGAGCCAAGTGGATCAAGGCAGTAGATTGTGAATCCCCACGCCCGGTTCAATCCCCATCGTTCGCCCATCAATAATAGGACCTTTTGTTACAAAGACACAAGCTTATTATAATAAAATTCTTCTTAAGTGCAAAGTGAGTTATATATATATATATATATCTATATCAAATATATATATTTATATATATAAAGGATTTGACCGTAGATAGAAACTGAAACCTGTGCAGGCATAGGGGCAGATGTAGCCAAGTGGATCAAGGCAGTGGATTGTGAATCCACCATGCGCGGATTCAATCCCCGTCATTCGCCCATCAATAAATGGACCTTTTGTTACAAAGACACAAGACAAACTGAGAAAGAATTTTTTCTGCATGTCATCTTGAGGCTTTCAAACGCATCCAAGCAATTGGTATCCGATTGAAAGAGAAAGATAGGAAGCATAGATTCGTGCATATATATACAACTTATGAGATCAACTGATCAACTCAAGTTCAAGCTTAGAAAACTTACAAATATTATATACAGGTCAAAGCTAAACGACCCAAAACTCAACCAAACATTTTCAAACCCTTGCGCAAACAAGTCTCATTATTAGAAGGTCAATTAGCTAGACTCTTTCACCTTAAACGAACTAACATCGAGCTTAATTTAGAAGGTCAACTAGAGTCTTTCAACTTAATTAAACCAACATCTAGCTTGATTTGAGCTTGGTTAATTACTTTATTAGCCACATTCAAGTAAAAAGTAAAACTAATATTGGCCTGCTCGGTTTTGCTGACCAACTTAATCATGTTTATTAAAATGATAAGAGTCATTATTCAAATCAGCTAGCCTTTGAAACAAAGAAAGTTAAATGGCTGTCTGCCACTATGGAAACCCAAAAATACAAGAGGACTTTTCATGCGGGACCTTGAATGATAAGGATGACACCAACATTCTCGAAAACTCAATAGGCTTTAAATTTGATAAAAATTTATGGTCTTATGACACATTCATGAACATTAATCATAAGTTTGAATATTAATGCTTGCCATAAGATGCTTAACCATCGACCATAACTTTGAATATCAACAAGTAAAAATTCTTTGCCAATCTATCTTGATTTGTTATACTTAAGACAATATAGTGTTCAAAGTTAAAGTAAAACTTTAATTCACTGAATATATTGATACTTACTCCTCCCCTCTTCTTTCATATCAAGATAGAAAATGCTAATTAAAATAAAACTTGTAACATCTACTTCAACCAGTATTCATTATTGTTCAGTTTTTTAATGAGAATGATCTGCTTCATATCTTACATTTCGTTATTAAACCTAATTATGATATTTTTTTTCACTAAGGACTAGCAGATTTTTAAATCATGAAATGATAACCATCAATTCTTATTTTAAAAAAAAAATAAAAATTAATAGCATTTTCATAACCATCAATATATAGGTCTGGAAAGTTGCTGTCAAACATGCATAGATTACTTGTAATCTTGTATCCATTTCATACACAAACAAACACAATAAATAACTACTCTACCTAACATGCACCAAGAAATTATTTATAATTTTACTAATGAAATTATAAGTATTAATATGTTCATATCATTAACAATATTATTTAACTTCAAACCTTATTATCAAACAAACAATTAAATATTATACATATACAATACTATTAACCCATCACCCATGCATCCTCACTCAAAACATCCCCCATGCATCCTCACTAAACCTGTGTTCTTTCGAAAACTATTTATACTTATACAATTGACTCAATGATATTTATTACAATATTTATTTTGTTAACTACCATAACAGTATCCTAGATTATAGATACGTAATAAGGAATGTAATTAAGCCAAAACAACCCGAAAAATAAACCAAAATAATTACTTCATATATTTAACTTAAGACAAATAACATAATTGTTATAATGTATATTTATATTTCTCACCTTGAAACCAATTAAATGATTAAATATAGGCGTACGTACATTCATCATATGGTTGAACTCGTTGAATATTTAAAGTATTTGAGCTCAAATACAGAGATGAAGCTATAATATTGGTATTTGTTTTGTTATTTTATGACAAAATAATAGGTCAATTAAGAATATGATGAATATGTTTTAGACGTTGATTTTATGCGATCTGTATATATTTCAAAAAAAAATCACCCCACAAGCCACAACGGGATCGAGACTCCGCCAAAGTCTGTGAACCCGCTGTAACAAGCAACCATAGAAATCAAAGTTTAAAGTCTGATGCGAGACTGAAAATCTAAAAATGCAATTCAATGGAAGAGATAACAAAGATCTTGGAAGTGGCCGTGCGGATTTTCACTCTTAATTAATATAAACTCTAAAGAGTCCATAGAATTAATCAACTCTTAAGAGTGTGAACCGAAGTACAACGTTTTTTTGAAAGCGACCATGGAATTTCAGCAAAGAAGTTGCTTTATTCCCTTCTGTAAAAAAAATTTCTTGCTGCTTGAAAGATCGAACGAAATGGGAAAGAGTAAAAACTTGAAGGAGTCTCTCTCACGCGCGCACAAACACAACGACAAAGAGACGAAAGCACATAAACGCAGACACGGGAAGACAAAGGACCGAAATGATAGGTGGAGTTGAAGAAGAAAAGTTATAGACTTATCGTACGGAATTTTAATATAGAGAAAAAAAATGGAATTGGAAAATACCTGGAGGCGCTGCAGTACTCAAAGAGCTTGCCAGTAGCTGAGAAAATGATGAGAGCAATATCGGCGTCACAGAGAACAGAAAGCTCTTCAGCTTTCTTAAAGAGACCTCGCCTCCTCTTAGAGAAGGTGACTTGCCTGGCCGTTACGTTATCAATCTTCTTGATCTTGATCTTCTCTCTCGCCATTCTTCACCCTCCAAAAATCATCAACCCATAACTTTCACATTTTCTAAGTATAAGAAAGTAAGAACCATACATATAAAATGGAAATGAAAGGGGAAAAATGAAGTGGATTTACTTCCAATTTATGAAAGAATCCTAGTAGAAACCCTAGTTAAAGACCCGGTTCAGATCCAGGTTAAGAAACCCAGAAAAAGTTTTAAAATAAAATAGAAAAAAAAAACCACCAATCATAACTCGTGAACATGCAAACAATTACAGAAGAATGACAGATTAAAGATTTTAGTGTGTGGGGGGAAAGGGGGTTTGTTTCTTATTTACCTTCTCGGAGTGGTGTGTTAGGTCTGAACTGATCTCACACAGCTACGAAAAGGCACTAAACTAATTGGAGAAAGTGATTTTAAAGAGAGAGAAAGACATAGTTGTGTGTTCAAGAAAGGAAAGGTTGCCCTCCCTTTTATAGCCAAACAGTATCTTTTTTTTTTTAAAATTATTTTAATATATATTTATACTTAACTAAGTAATTAAGATGACTATAGGTTAATATACGAAGAGAGATAGAACTGATTAAGACACAACTAATGAGACATGGATCAATGCGAACATAGTTTTTTAATTAAGTGTTTTTTTTTTTTTTTTTTTTTTTTTGTGGGCGATCGCTTCCAGTACATACATAACCATGCTCCCACTAGCTTAGCAATAATGACTTGTACCTCCTACCCTCAGCCATTTTAAATCCTCACTATTTATGAGTTAACAATTTTTATCCATCTAAATAACGGTTTAACGAATACTTTTTACTTAACTTTATATTCTCATGACAAATTGAAAACCAACTCAATCTAGATTATTGAAGTTTATTAAAAAGGTAGATTGATGAGTCTTTTAGTAATGAAAGATTAGATTTTGATGATTAAGATTTATCAAAATTTAACTTAGGAGAAACAGTTACATAAACCCTAATCGTTTGATTAACGAGGTTGACGGGAGTAAGGTTTGAGAGATTTTTACGAGTGATAGTCAGAGAAGAGAATGGTGATGATGTGAAATTACAATGAAATTAGAATTAGAAACGGAATATAAATTTCATTAATAAAGTGATATTTTAAATTTGGGGTTAGAAAATGTAATTAAATCATTATTTAATTAGGAATTGTTGAGATAAATGGGATGACCATTACATATTTACTTGTATTTTGACTATTTTCCTATTCATTTTCAGTTCCAAACTTCCAATCAAACATTTTGTTTATAATTATGAAATCACATTAAAGCAATATTGAAGCTGGCAAATTTAATTAATTAATATATAATTATTCTATCATGACTTTATTTTATTGTGAATATGAAGTGATAAATTGGGTTTGAATAAATAGAAATGAGAAGATACTGAGTTTAATTTTTAAAGTTTATAATTTAAATATTTAATATATACCTCTAAATAGTAAACTACAAAAATAGCTGCATAACATATGAGCAATTTTTTATTTTTTATCTTTATGATTAGAGGTGTTTAGTTTAGTTTACATACACCTTAATTAATCTTTTGATACCTTAGAACTACCAGTCGGATAAGAATTCCAGTGATTACCTTCTGTTAGCGTCCGAGGAAGTATTATATATATAATTAGAAATTATATCAGAAATTTGTCTGGTTGATTACAAAATATATTATCAATTATATTAAGTAATGCACACATGTTGATATAAGTCGTACATGTATTTATATTAGCAATTATCTACATCATCAATAAAAATACTATATTGTATGATACTTTATTTATATTCCAGACTAACTTTTAACAATTGAAATGTAAGATGTTTAATTAATAATTGGCTAGTCCTTTAATATTCGATCATATGATTTCTAACACATTGGTAAATAAACTTTATAATTTGTTTAGTTAAAAAAGCGTAAAAAGGGTAAAAATAAAATTTATTCTTGGCATAAGGCATAAATTTAAGAATTGAGATGTGATTGAGATTGCACTATACTAGAAATAGAATCGTCCATGGCTTTAATATAGTATAGTTTTTGTTAAAGGTTATTGTCACATCAGTCAGAAAATCAAATATGGTATTTACCAATAAAGAGATACGTATCCATTTCTTTCTGATGAATAGATGTATTATTCTTCCGCATAATGGAAAGTAGCCTATTTTTTAATTTTTCACGCTATCGTTTGCCTCAGTATTCATTACAATTTTTTTAAAATTAATAAAAATAATAATAATTGCTCTTAATAAATGGATAAAATATAGAAGAGGTTCCTCAGATTGTTGTGGATGGTATTGATGGCAGTTATCACTTTTATTTAACGATATTATTATTATTTTTAATAGGGTGTTTGGATAAGTTTAATGACACCTCAATTAATCATATGTGGTCTTGAAGTTGAAGGTTTGATAAATCTCTTTAATGATCACTCCATTAACAATCTAAGTGAATTAATCTCAAAATCTTTTAAATAAAACACGAAAAAGTTTTAGTTAACTATTAGACTAATAATTGTGGTTATTTAATGATATTATTATTAAGTGTCTCGGCTGAATATGATAAGAATAATGGTACTTTTATAAATTAGAATTCCAACTTTAAATCTTAATCAATATAACTATTTATATGTCAATATTTTATTAATTTGTCGAAAATACAACAAAATCCGACAATTAATATAGTGCAGGATCATCTTAGCAAAATGCCCATGAATATTATAGCTAAAAGATTTTGCAGTATAAGCAAAGATATAAGAATGATAATGATAATGATAATCCTGGTAACAAGTGTGGGATATGAATTGGTTATTGGTTTAATTCTCAGATCAAAGCATATTTAAAGGAATAAATTTTGCTTAAATTTAAGAGAGCTACAGAAAACTATTATAATACTTGCGAGAGATTCAAGAAAATCCATCCACGAATAAATATTTTTCATTATTTATATTTATTTTTTATGGCCCCAGAAAAAAAAAAAAAAAAAGCGCGTTAGTCAAGTACAAACTATACATGAAATTACACACTTGGATTAAACATTTTAGAAAAAAAAAAAGATTGATATGAATTAATGTTAAAAGAAAAGAAAAAAGTTTTAACATAAAAAAGGAATAAAAATATGATGGACCTAAATGTAACAAAAGAAAAAGAGTTTTCGAGGTTTCAGTCTTTCAGAGGAGGACCGGTTTCAGCTGGTTCTGGAAAAATCCCATTCATGCAAATTCAGAGCATCGACATTGATTAAACACTCTGCATTCCACCACTTTCACTCAAATTAGAGAGAGGTCATGCTTCCTGCATTTGGATCTTCTACAATTTACATAAAGCATGTAGGAACTTCAATACATATTTTATTTAATTAAGTAGTAAATTTAATTTATAAATTTTTTTTAGTAATTGGAGAATATAATATATTCAGAGTATATATATATATATATATATTTTTTAATTGAGGGTATCCTAACTAGCTTACGTGTGCCTCAACTAATCTCCCAGGATGCTAGAACTATCGATTGGAACTCTAGTGGCCACCCCTATTAGCACCCGAGGAGGGACTTGAATTCAAGACCTTTTAAGTAATACACCCAAGAGTCCCTATTGAACCACTTGACCACCCAGAAGTAGTTTATACAAAGTAGATTTCATAAAGATAAACTGTAGATTCCTAGAAAGAAAAATAATGAAAGGTAAGAATCTCATCCATGTGAGTGAAAGTAGTTATCCATCTCCTAGGTGGGGACTGCTTGGAGTGACCACAACCCTACTTCTTTTGGGTTCATCATGTATTCTTCCATGCAGAGAAAATCTGAGTGTGTATGTTACTCATCTCATCTTTGAATAGTTATAAATACATTCGATGTACAAAACCTTTTATATGCAATGTCATTTTATCTGATTCAATAGCTCAGACATCCTTAGTGATCATGACAATAGGAACAAGCAAGTGGAATCCATCACCGTCCCTAATTAAATATCAATTCTAGTAGCTTTTTTTGTTATGTGGTTCTTCACTTATCAACTTTTTTTACAACGTTCTCTCACCCCTTTCACTACTCCTACCTCCAAAAAATAAATAACCAACAAAATAGTATCTATATATATCTTAAATATATGAGCAATGCTAGAGGTATAAAGAAATCATAGAAGGATTTCTGTACAAAGTGATGTGGTTGGAAGAATAAATACAAAAAGTCAAACGCATCATGTTTACTATTCTGTTCATTTTTTGCCACATCACTCTATACAGAAATATTTGTAAGTCTAACATTGTTGATGTTAGATTTTGACACCAACGACTTCACACGTGCAAAATGCTAAGAAGTGACACTTGAGCAGTGTAATATACACATTCAGAAATATGGTAAAGATTATTCTATGGTCATAGTGAAAATATTTAACTAGTTTTATAGTGGAATTCCATAAAAGTTTCGATAGGGGCAAAATGGTCATTTCACATAGAATCACATGTTCAAGTGGAAAGTGAATATGATAAATATAATGTATTAAGTGTGCTAGCCATGAGAATAGAGTGGTAAAAAGGTTATGGACAATACAAGTGATGTGATGCCGAGATAAATAAGTGTTTATGAAGTAATAGAAAGAAATTAAAGAATAAGGGTATAATGATCTTTTCACTCACAACTAGATGAAAAAGTGGTGAGTGTAAGGAAGCAAAATAATGTGAAGAAGATGATACAAATGAGGGTTTAGCTTAATTTTTTTTAGATTTTCAATCCTAAAGCATCCAAATGTAAGATTCTAGCACAAAGGTGTGTATTTAAGTTTTTAAAAGTTTTGAATTCTTGATTTAGATCCAAGAGGAAAAGAATTTTAGCAAAGGAAGGCTGAATAAAGATTCTTGACTGGATTTGAAAAGAAAGTTAACTAAAATTAAAGACTTTGAGAAATACAGTTGAACAATATTGGAACGAATAGATTGAAATTTTTACTAACCTTTAAGAACAGAGTAGGTTGCATTTTTATATCAGAAAGATGATATAAAAACGCCACCGTATTGAGTTTAATACAAAAGCACACCATATTGGTGTTTTTGCAATGAAACCCAACCTACTTTCATTCTTTACACTTTAACCCAAACTACTATGCTTTGCTTTTCCTAGCACTTCTTTTGTCTAATATTGAATAATTAGTGTTGTGCAAATTCAAGGTAAGTAAACCCAATCTAAACTTTAATTTGAGTAGTATATGTGTAAGTTGATTCTTGAGTGTTTATGAATGATGTATGATAAGAAGTATTGGTTGTTTAGATGCTTGTTTAATAGAGAATAATGTGTAGAAGTTCAGCCAAGATGAGTAGTTATGTAGATGTGATGTTTTGGTTGAACTTTGGATGAAATTTTGAAGTGTTGATGTTGGAATTTGAAAGTGTTGAATAAGACAAGAATTGAAGTTAAGTTTGGT